AAGAGAGTGGCAGCAGCACCTTCAAGGCTGAAGTATAGCCGTTTGGGAGGACCCAAGCAAGGTGCCATGGCAGTTCAGGCGGATGAGGGAGAGGATGAGGAGATGGTGTTCTGTTTCTTCACACCCTTGCCTGGAGAACCAGCCACAGTGGAGGAGGCACTGAGTGGACCCCAGAAGGAGGAGTGGAAGGCTGCCATGGATGCGGAGTTCAACAGACTCATTGAGAATGAGACTTGGGAGCTTGTTGAGTTACCCGAGGGGCGACGGCCGATCAGCAGCAAGTGGGTCTTCAAGGTGAAGAGTGGTGCTGATGGTGCGTTGGAGCGGTTCAAGAGCCGTTTGATCGCCAAGGGGTTTCAGCAGAAAGAGAAGGTCGACTTAAGGGAGATCTTTGCTCCCGTTGCTAAGCCAGTGACACTGAGGAGTTTGATGGCTGGCGCAGCTGTGAAGGGATGGCACGTGAAGCATATGGATATTACCACTGCGTTCCTCAATGGAGTGCTGCTGGAGGATATCTACATGGCGCAGCCCGACGGCTATGAGGATGGGACCAGCTGGGTGTGCAAGCTTAAGAAGGTCATCTATGGCCTTAAGCAAGCGCCCAGGTGTTGGTACGAGAAGCTGGAGGAGGTGCTGCTGGGTGGAGGCTTCAAGACGTCCCAGGCTGATCACAGCTTGTTTCTGAGAGGGGGAGCAGCTGCTATTGCTGCTGGTGTATGTCGATGACATACTGCTGTTCTCACCTTCCATGGAGCAGATTGAGAGGACACAAAAGCTGCTGATGGACAACTTCAAATGCAAGATGCTGGGGGATGTCCACTACTACTTGGGGCTGCAGATTGAGAGGGATGTTGAGAGGAGGTGGCTGAAGGTGCATCAGTCACACTACATCTCTGGTGTCATGGAGCGCTATGGTGTGATTGGGGGTCGCACTGTGATGACACCGTTCCCTGCGGGCTTCAAACTGAAGGAGCCAGCTGAGGAGGATGATGTGCTTGAGAATGAGCAGCAGAATGAGTACCAGTCACTCATTGGGAGTGTGATGTATGCTGCTGTGTATACGCGACCTGATGCTTCATTCGGAGTGGGGCAGCTGGTCAGAGTTGTGCAGTGGCCCACTGAGGAGCAGTTGGAGGTGGCAAAGCGCTTGGTGCGCTACCTCGGATCAACGGCATCTGCTGGTGTTCAGTTTTCAGCTGGCGGCCAGCTGAAACAGATTGGAGCAGATGGGGTCACGCCTGGAACCTTGAAGCTGTCGTGCTTCACCGATGCTACGTGGGCCTCAGAGGAGGAGGATCAGTCATCAGTTGGCGGCTTTGTTTGCATGGTCGGAGGCTGGAGGTCCAAGAAGCAGAGTGAGATTGCTCGGTCTTCTGGAGAGGCAGAGTACATGGCAATGTACCATGCCATCAAGGAGATCGTGCTCTTGAGGAAGCTGCTCGAGGACATGGGAGCTGAACAGCAGGGACCTACACCACTTTTCTCTGACATCGAGGCTGGTATTGGCATGGCCAATAATCTTATCTTTAATGGGCTGAACAAGCACATAAAGATTTAGTGGCACTGGGTGAGGCAGATGGTGAAGGAGGGGATTGTTGAGCTTCACCATGTGAAGGCTAGCAAGCAGGTGGCAGATTTTCTCACCAAGAGACTTCCCGAGAGCGCACATTGGAAGTGTGCTAAAATGTGTGGCATGGCATTGCACTAGTGTGGGCAGCAGCGTCATGAGTGCATGTGTGATTGTGTGCATGAGAGTTTGCATGTGTGTGAGTGTGTGTGCATGCAGTCCGTTAGTCTGAGGGGGGGTTTGTTGGATGCACGCCATTCTGAGTGCATGTCATCCTAACGTCCTGCCGACTGCTCGTGCTATTCATGCGTGCATTGTTTGCATGAGCATATGTCATTGTGCATGGCTGTTGGATATTATCATCTCTGTGTTTTTCTCCAAGTTTAAATGCTTGATCATGCAGGAGAAATCCAGAGCTTTCCAACGATACCAAGATCGCCTTATTCCGACCAAGATCGCCCAAGTTACAAGATTTCCAAGACTTTGATTTCTTATTACCTTTTGGGGTTATATCTTATTTGGGTGATTACTTGGACATGACTATAAAGGGATCTTTGGTTGGGTGGTTAGGGAAGGCAACTTTGACTTTTGGATTGGGGTGGCTAGAAGTTTCTACATGGGTTGCAAATGTTGCAACACCTAGGCAAATCCAACTAGATTGGATTTTGCATGTGACACCTCAAGGACCTCATGATGAGGGTTGCATCCTTGCTGATAGGAAGGTTCTTACCATCCTTCCCTAGCTCTTGGAGAACCCCTTCCCTCTCATGGTTCTCTTGGATGCCCCAACTCCAATATTCTATCCTTTAATGCTTGTACTTCCTCTACCATTCTAGTCATGCGGCTGCTGGACGTTTTTACTTGGTTCTCACTCTATAGACCATCTTAACGACTGATTCAACTTGGAGATGGTAGCTAAGCCTAAGGCGCACAATCCTACCGAGCGGATTTGCGTTTAGTTGAGAAGTGAGTTCGTCATAAGCTCTTAAAGTGACGGATCCTGAACAACAGGGAAGTGTAGGAACACCGTATGTCTAATGCTTATGGTGTGGTGTTGTATGCGGACGGTCGTGTGCCGGTTGAGAGGGGTATGATCAGGGGCATTGGATAGGCCACGATGCGTTTAAGAGGGATTAATGGCAAATGCTTTAAACAACGATGGAACAATAATAGGTGTAATAGGAATGTTACTAAGTCGTGAGCAGGGGGACAAATCACCCGTCAACCATATCGCGGAACGTACGATGAGGTCGACATATACGGCCAGTAGCGTAGGGTTACCAACATCAACCGCGGTTCGGATGTGTGCCATTGGATACGGTTAGAAAGGGGACTGTGATTCGGGTTGCGGCGGTCCAAACCACCTTGTCGTGGGGCTGTGCGAGGCGAAACCTAAACCAACTGGAGACATAGATGCACGTGGTTTGGCATCGCGGAGTGCCGTTGACTAATGGTCTCATGGACGGTAGGGGGCATGACAAGTGGTGGTGCATTGGTGGCTCCATGTTACGTGTAGGACGTCCACGTGGGTGTCTATCCACGGACAGGACTGAGTACACGTTGACACCGCTGGGGTACGGTTCGCGATGTCGCATGCGAGGCATCGTCGATGCGTGCATTACGTGGACGGTCAAATGTGCATTTCGGTGACCTGTGTAGTCATCATGAGCGTAGTTGCAGCCGTACACGTTGTCTTGGATCAACGTCATCCGCAGTGTACACGTTGTGTACAGACAACGTGCTGGATTGAGAGTCAACCAATGCGAGACAGGTCTTATCGAAAGATGGCGCATGGGCATTGGCTCCAGAGTATGCAAACGAAGGGTGTGGATACAACTCCGGGGTGATCGTGGTCGTCCACGTGAAGGCAGTTGGTTGGATGGGACTGTGGCCCGAAGCGCCATGAACTGTACAGTGTTGTAACTTGTAGGTTGTTGTGATGACGTCATGCTTGCAACGTGTATGGTAGCTATAAGATTGTGTCTGCTTGTGTCATTTGATTTTCGTTCGTATGAGATAACCCACGTGTGACGTGTGCGTGACTTGCAGGTGACTGTGTCGTCACTTTAGTTGTGACGTAAACGGAGCTCTTCCGTGATATTTCCATGACATCCCCGTCACTTTGGAAGTGACATTGGGCTCGTTACTTCCAACCATCACCTTTTTACCCCAAAAAACCGTATACGGGGAATTGACGAAAAAGTCACATTTTCGTCACTTCTGGCCCTTGTCTTTTCCGCGATGGAAGCCTTTCTCTTTCGATTATATTGCAGACGAAGACGCGCAATAGGTGACGGCGGCTAACAATTACTTTCCATTTGTGGTTGTCAATGGTTTTGTGATTATCTGATAAGTTAGACTAGTGAATGATTGATCGTGTTTAAAATGAACTGGCGTTCTTTTTGTCTGTCTTGTGTTTGTTTTTCTCTGTTTGCAGGAGGACATCTTCACGACGATTACAAAAACCTATCACGGATGCATGTTTGGAAGGTTACCACTGCTGCCTTCTTGCGTATGGTACTGGAACAACTGAATTCTTGGTAGTTTCATAAGCATTCGCTAAGGTTTTGTTCGCTGAAATCATCACTCGATAATGTTGATTCGCAGGGCAAACTGGTGTCGGCAAGACCTTTACAATGGAGGGTGAGCCGGACGTTGCGTATCATTTCTACATATTTTATGCTTCGTTAATCTCAGAGAACGGGCAAGTCTTATGTTTTGTTCTTCTTTGGCTTTCGCAGGACCGGATTGGTACGGCGAAGGGGAAGGATCCCAACGGAGTGTGAACAAACGCGGCCTTATTCCTCAAATTGTGCAGTACGTCTTCCAGAGACTTTCAGTTGACAAGGTATGACCCTTTTATTCTTACCAAGGAAACAAAAATGATGCTGTTTTTTCCTTCCCTTTATGTCTGCATACCACTTGACGTCATTCAAGCTGACATCATTTCCGTTGAGTCTGTGCGTGCAGGAATTGCAGATGCTAGAGTTCACCATCCGCTGCTCCTACCTGCAGATTCACAATGAACAGGTCTCATACCTCCACGAGCCAAACCTGATTAAGGCCTTACTGCATTCTTGTGAAACTAGAGTCATGTTCCGCCGATCATTCACCAAACTGAAGACATCTGCTTATACAAATTTTCGTGCGTTGACGCGTGATTAAGTTTAACCTTTGTTTTTTTCGTGCATCCATCCATTCTCATCAGGCATCATACATCAGGCGTCATACATCAGCTGTCATGCATCAGCTGTCATGCATCAGCTGTCATGCATCAGCTGTCATGCATCTGCTGTCATGCATCTGCTATCATGCATCTACATGCATCTGCTGTCATGCATATGCTGTCATGCATATGCTGTCATGCATCTGCTGTCATGCGTCTGCTGTCATGCGTCTGCTGTCATACATCAGTTGTGATTCATCTGTTAGGATGCACCTGTTATCATGCATCTGCTGTCATGCGTCTGCTGTGGCGGATGTGAGGGAGGACAAGAAGCTCGGGGTGTTCGTGGAGGGCCTGCAGGAGGTGGTGGTTTCCACAGCCGGCGCCACCTACGCGCTGTTCAAGCGTGGCTCGCAGAACCGGCGTGTGGGCCAGACGGCCATGAACATGGAGAGCAGCCGCTCCCACAGCGTGTTCACTATTGTGGTGGAAACTTAGGTACAATGCCAATTTCGTGCTTTCAGTGAGCATGCCAAACCTCGTTTCTGCTGGTTTTTCTTCTTCCATGTCGCCACTAGCTTTTGTGCTTCTTGATTGCATTTCACAATCCAATGTCTGATTTCTATCTCACGATCCGATGTCTACTTCTCTCATGGCTGCTTCTCATCTCACATTGATCTTTCCCTCATGTGTGTTTTGTTGGGCTGCAGCGGAAGGACGACGCGGGGATGATGAAGAGGAGGATCTCACGCTTCAACCTAGTGGACCTGGCGGGCTCGGAAAGGCGGAAGCACAGTGAGGCGCAGGGGTTGCGGCTCAAAGAGGCCGGGAACATCAACAAGTCACTTATTGCGTTGGGAAATGTCATCAAGGTAAGAAAACGAATCTTTCGAGCGGCAGATTTGCTAAGGATTTTGCTATGTTGTTTTGAACTTTGAGGTCTGACTTGGTGTATATGTGCATGCATTGGTTGACATCGCAGAGGGGAAGGTTCGCCACGTGCCATATCGAGACTCGAAGCTCACCTTTCTTCTAAGGGTAAGAAACTCTTCAGCTTGACATTATCCAGTGAATGAAATTCAGCATTTTGCTTCAACCTTGTGATGCTTCTTGCTGGTGAATTCTGATTCTGTTTCTTATTCTTCCTCTTTTCAGGACTCCCTGGGTGGGAACTCCAAGTGCACTCTGCTGGCTGCTGTGAGTCCTGCGGAGCGCAATGTGGATGAAACGATGTCGACACTCAAGTTTGCGCAGCGGGCAAAGCTGATGCACAACGAGGCGGTAGTTAACGAGCTCATATTGGGCAACCCCATCGTCATGGCCGAGGAAATCCGCCGGCTGCGCCTCGAGATTGCCGAGCTAAAAGGTATGTACGATGTGAGGGGGCGGAGGAAGAAAGTGATTTTTTGATTGAATCTGGACGAGTTTTGACTTTTGAGCGAGTCTGAAGGTGTGAGGGGGCTTACATGTGCGTTGCGAGAGAGCAAGCGCTTTGAATGGATCTTAAGAGAAGTTACTTCTGGATGGACCTTAACCGAATGAGTTTTATTTAGGAGTTGCTAACCCCGGTTCTTGTTGTGTGCATGCAGCCAATGCAACAGCAGGCGTGCCCAGGCAGCCATTGCTGCCCACTTCAGGTGTGTTGCTGCCAACCCTGTCCTGGTGCGCATACCGAGCTTGAATTCCGTTTGGCGCCGCTTTTGTTCCTTTGTTGCCCTCATTTCGTTCAGTCACTCTTTTGTCAAATCTGTGCTCTCAACCGTGTGCTCTTGTGTGTGTGCTTTGTGTGTGTGCGTGCTCTTGTGTGTTTGCGTGCTCTTGTGTGTGTGCGTGTGCGTGCTTTTGTGCGTGTGCGTGCCTTTTGTGTCTGCGTGTTTTTGTACGTGTGCGTGCTTTTGTGTGTGCGTGTGCTTTTGTGTGTGTGTGTGCTTTTGTGTGTGTGCGTGCTCTTGTGTGTGTGTATGTGTGCTCTTGTGTGTGTGCGTGCTCTTGTGTGTGTGCGTGCTCTTGTGTGTGTGTGTGCTCTTGTGTGTGTGTGCATGCTCTTGTGTGTGTGCGTGCTCTTGTGTGTGTGCGTGCTCTTGTGTGTGTGCGTGCTCTTGTGTGTGTGCGTGCTTTTGTGTGTGTGCGTACTCTTGTCCCCCTCTGTACCGCAGAGAACCGGTGCACCGCGCGGTCCATCACGAGGGCGCAGGAGGTGGCGAGGAAGGGCAAGGGATCTAAGGCCGCCGAGGCCCTCGCAGAAGGCTTTGTGGGAGGGGCTGCTGAGGTGAGCGCATGCACTGCTTTCTTCTCTAATAATCCACTGTGCATCATGCTCGTGTGCATCCCTGCTGCTATGCATACGCGCAGGTGCAGGTGCGGTGTGAAGAAGCGGAGGCGAACTTGGGCGAGCTGCTGCAGCAACTGGCGGCCTGCCAGCAGGCAGAGTCTGTACGCACACGGGAGCTGGAGGCATGCCAGGCATGTTATAGTCACAGTAGGCTTCAATGTGCCTAAAACGAAAGATAGAGTGCACAGTCGGATTTCTGCACAGCGACTTTAAACGTTCATAGCGTTCTGGTCACAGCTTCAAATGACCTGATTCAACTTGGATCTGGAGCGTCTTAGCGTCGCCTACAATAGGCAATTTTGATCGCACGATTTTACCAAGTATTGACGACACAGCGTCGGTTTGAACGAACGGCACTATGGCAGCCACTATAGTCTTAGAACACAAGATAGAAAGAGTTAGGAAGAGTTACGAGTTGGGCATGACTCCCAGCTCCTACAAACCCCAAGAGCCGAGGTACGGTGATGTGGAATAGTGCCACACTGTCCCCAACCACGAAGGGTCTCGAAACTACCCTTCACTAGGGCCTACACCAACTGAAATGTTACACTACACAAAGTAATGTAACTATCTTCAATATCTTGAAGTGTACCCTTTTGGCGAGCTTCGAAATCACTTGAAGCTTGAAACCAAGGCTCGGGTTCTTCATCACAAACTCATCCTTGAGTTCTTGATGGGTCTGCTGCACACACCTGCGACACGCCGAACGTTCGACAAGCGACAAAATAGAAACCGCGCATGACAAAATAGAAACCGCGCGGGACACACAAATGACCGCGTTACACGCGACTAGCGGTAATTCGCTATTGACTCGACACACACACTTGACATCATGACCCATCACACACACACTATTATAAGCATGAAATATATATTATTTCATGCCCTCATTTCATTCCATGCACACACGCATGCACGCAGACGGACAACAAGCCGAGTGCAAACCGTAGGGTTGCACCAACAAGACAGAGCTGGCGAGGACCATTGCTGAGAGTGAGAAAAGATCATCTGATAAGGAGAGGGTCGCAGGGGAGGCAGCAGCTGCAAGGAGAGAGAAAGAGAGGGTGTTGGAAGAAGCTGTGGAGGGGATGAGGAGAAGGCGGGTGGAGCTGGAAGATCTGAGGAAGCACATGGTGCACGAGCTAGAAGAGCAGAAGAGGGGGTGGGAGAAGGCACTTGAGGGAATGAGGCAGAAGCTGGTGGAGGGGAAGGAGAAGGAGGGGGCGTTGGGTGAGCAGAAGAGAAGGTTGGAGGAGGAGCTTGAGAAGATGAAGGGTAAGCTGGTGGAGATGGAAACTTCTGGTAGGGAGGAGAGGGCGCTGGAAGAGCAGAAGAGGGATTCGGAGGAGGTGCTAGAGGAGATGCGGCGAAAGCAGGTGGAGATGGAAGCTGCTGGGAAGGAGAAGGGGGAGCTGGAAAATCGGAGGAGGGCGTTGGAGGAGGCGCTACAGAGCGAGCAGGTGCCTCGTGGAGCAGTGGAGGCGAAGGTGTGCGAGCTGCTGCAGCAGGTGGCGGCCGCACAGCAGGCTGGTTCGGTCCTCAAGGTGAAGGACGCTCAGATCGCCGCCCTCGTTCGGGATCTGCAGGCTTGCCAGGCCGAGCTGGCGAGGAGTGCTGCTGAGAAGGAGAAGGAAGCAGATGCAGCAGTTGCTGGGAGGGAAAAGGAGGGAGCGTTGGAAGAACAGAGGAGGGCGTTGGAGGAGGCCGTAAAGGGGAGGAAGGGCAAGCAGGTGGAGCTGGAGGAGAAGGTTCACGCGCTGGAAAAGGAGCAGGAGCTGCTGTGTGCTGCAGCAAAGCGAGGTGCAGAGGACGCAGCATAGCTGCGGGCAGAACTGGAAGCGGCACGAAAGCAGGTGGACGGAGTGAAGGAGGCGAAGGCTAGGGCTGAGGGACAGGCGGCAGAGGTGACTGGGAGGGAATGCTGAGGTGCGTGAGAGGGGCTGGTGAGGTGAGTGGGAGGGGCTGGTGAGGTGAGTGGGAGGGGCTGCTGAGGGGAGTGGGCACCTGGATTGTCAACTCTGCCACACACCCGTCCTCCTATAATCATATTTCTTCCCGCTTCTCCCCATCCAATCCCGCTCACCCCTGCCCTCGTTTCTTTGTTGGTTCTCTGTTCCTGTCCATCCACGTCCCCCATGCCAAGCCCCCTGCTCTCCCCACTTCTCGTCCTCCACCGTGGTAGCATGAGATGCAGGTCTCGCCTCTCTTGCACCCACCTCTTCTCCCCAACCCTAGTTGACTTGGCCCCTACCCACCCCCCACTCAGCGCCCCCTACCCTTGCCCCTGCACACTGCTTTCTTCTACAACGATCAGCTGGATATCCCGCTGATGTGCATCCCTACTCTGTGTGCATGCAGGCGCAGGTGCGGTGTGAAGCGGCGGAGGCAAAGGTAGGCGAGCTGCTGCATCAGCTGGCGTCCTGTCAGCAAGCGGAAGCAGTGCGCACATGGGAGCTGCAGGCGTGCCGGCGAGAGCTGACGAGGAGCGCAGATGAGAAGCAGAGAAGTGCTGCTGAAGCAGCACGGCTGCGAGTTGATCTGGCGGGTGTCATGGAGGAGAAAGAGAGGGCTGTAGCAGCAGCAGAAGCATCAGCAGCAGCAGAAGAGCAGGTGTCAGCACTAGCAGATGCGGTGGAGGCCGCAGCAGCACTTGCAGCTGCAGCGGCAGTACCAAGAGGGGACAGCTTGTATGGTCGAAGGAGGAGGGGCAACAATGGGGAAGAGGTATGAGGTTTTGGCCATGGGCTGGTGAGGTGACATGCACAGGGGCTGGTGTGGCTTTCACCCCACTTCTCTTCCTTCTGCTCGCTTCCAAATGCTCCCCATGCCTCTTCCCCTTCCACCACCCCTTCCTTACTGCAGCAGATGTTGCAGAGGGTTATGGCGGATGGAGATCGGCAGGTGGAGGTACAGTGGAATGAGGCTGAGACTACTGGTGCTGCACTCATGGTCGCAGCAGTACATGAAGCAGCGCCAGCCGCTGCAACCTCCACCATCAGCAGCAGCTGGAACAGCCGGATGGTAAAGAAGAAAAAAAGGAAGTGTGAGGGGGGTGTACATCTCGTGAAGGGTTCCGAGGGAATTTGGAAAGTCTGCGTCCGTGTGAATGACAAACAATTCTTTTGCAAGAGGTGGCCTAACAGACAGCAAGCCCTGGTATGGTCTGCAATCACTCAGGTGGTTCACAGCGAGGGAGAGTATAGCGAGTTATGGGGTAATGTCATAGGTATTTTAAAAGAGGAGGAGGTTGCCACGCTGAGGGCGAATAGGAGAGTGGCTAAGAATTGGTGGGAGGAGTTCAAAGATGAACCGGGTGTTCAGAAAGTGCTGTATTGGGGTGAGTTTCTGCCTCCCGAGCTCAAGATTCTGAAGAATGTGTGGGCACGCAACTGGGGCGATGGAGGCAGTAGCAACAACTGAGGACCAGCGTTGGCAGCACCTCGAGACCGGCAAGTGCAGCGCTGCACTGGCAGCAACACCAGTAGCATCATGAGCAGCGACAATAGCAGCATCAGCAGCAGTACGATGGGCAGCAGCAGCAGCAACAGCAGTGTGAGGGAGGATGCAGCGGAAGCCTTGTAGTAGATGGTAGAGTAACAGGCTTTGCGATTGGATCTTGACAACCACTATTGGAGTTATTTAAGGGCAGCGATGGCACTAGCAAATTCCATCATGACAATTTCAGCTTTAGGTACTGATGGTGCTGGTCGTTCCTGAATACGGTCAATATAGATTCTTCTTTCTTTGTAGATGCAATTGCCCAACTTTTGTGTTGACATGTTCTTAACTCATCGTTTCGCTCTTTCTGTTGATGCCTCTCTCTATTTGGTGCCCTGCTCTTTCTGTTGCTGCCTTGTTGGTTATGCTGTTGCCTTGTTGCTCTTTGTTGCTAGGTTCCTTCTGTTGCTGCCGCTGTCTCTTTTTGTTGGGACGTTGCTCCTTCTATTGTTGTCTCTCGTTTTTTTAAGCTGCGTTGCTCTGTTGTTGCTGCCTCGCTCTTTCCATTACTGCCTTTGTGTTTAGAGGTGGGACCCAGCTTATTTTGGACTATCTCAACTCTCTCAACTATCTCTCTCCTGGGCTGCTCTCAACTATCTCCCTCCTGGGCTGCTCTCAACTGTCTTGGGAATTTATGGACTGTCCCGCAACTGTTGTGGACTGTATTTGACTGTCCTTCACTGACTTGGTTTTCTCATTCATTGCTATTCCACCCACTTTGTTTTTTCTGTTCCTGTTCATTGTTAACCCACCCACTGTTATACTAGTCATTTCCTATTTCTTGTAAACCCAACCACTATATTCTTAACTACCAGTTCACATGCCCTCATACCATTCCATACACACACACATTCACGCACACGGACAACAAGCCGAGTGCAAACCGTAGGGTTGCACCAACAAAGGTAGCACTTGGAATTCCTTCTTCACGATCTCATTCGCTGAGACGTTATCGCCATTCCCAGTCAGCCTCACAATAATGTTCATCTTGCCAACTTCCCATGGACATTTTTCAACTCCCACTCCCCACGTTTGATTCTCCAGGCAGCTCTTCATCGCCATTGCCCTGCTCGTTCCCTCGCTCTCATGAACCCATCCAATGCATGTCAGCCAATGCATATCAGCCAATGCATGTCAGCCAATGCATGTCAGCCAATAAATGTCAGCCAATGCATGTCAGCCAATGCATGTCAGCCAATGCATGTCAGCCAATGCATGTCAGCCAATGCATGTCAGCCAATCATGTCAGCTAATGCATGTCAGCCAATGCACGTCAGCCAATGCATGTCAGCCAATGCATGTCAGCCAATGCATGTCAGCCAATGCATGTCAGCCAATGCATGTCAGCCAATGCATGTCAGCCAATGCGTGTCAGCCAATGCATGTCAGCCAATGCATGTCAGCCAATGCATGTCAGCCAATGCATGTCAGCCAATGCATGTCAACCAATGCATGTCAGCCAACGCATGTCAGCCAATGCATGTCAGCCAATGCATGCCAGCCAATGCATGTCAGCCAATGCATGTCAGCCAATGCATGCCAGCCATTGCATGTCAGCCAATGCATGGCATCCTCCCATCTCATGGTCATGATCCCATTGTCATGTTGCTGCTCGTACCCTCGCTCGCAATACATAGTTTGAACTCATCTCATCATCACACTGCCATGCTCTCATTGCCATCTACCCATTTCATAGCGATCTCTCTGGTGTTACCTCCTCTGGTTATCATCTTCCCATTCTCATTCCCCATAGTCACTTTCACTCTCTTGCATCCCCCCTTCCCAGTGTCGTTGTCGCTGTTACATGGTTGTTATCCCATCGCCTGCTCTCACATGCCATACTTGAACAGCCATATTCCACTCCAGGAATGGAGTGTCTGAAAGGGCGGGGAGTGGGAGGATGGATGATTCAGGGTGACCGTTTTTGCTGCCCATTCTTATTCCCTTCTCACTTGTTGTGGTTCTGCTCATGATACGCCATTTGTTTCTGACTCATGTTTTCCATTCCACGTTTCGTTGTCGTTTGTCCTGCTAACAACTTCCCAAAGCCATTTTCAAGTGAACTTTTCCTGTGCTTTTGTTTTCATGAAATGTCACATCATCTTCCCAGCTGCATACCACACTCCATTCTAAATCTCTGACTCGTCTATATTGCCATTTGTCAACCCAACTTCCAATCACCACTTTTCCAGTGCATTCTCCATTCTCATTCGGATTCTTGTTGTCATTTTTTTTTGTGAACCCCCCCCATTGTCATTTTTCTAGCCAGCTTCCCATTGCCATGTTCCTAACTTCCTAGTCATCATGCCTCTGCCATGTGCTCCTCGTAGCGCTGCCACCCCATGCATGGGCGCCACAGACTCGCCCATCCGCCCGTGCATCATCTCATCCCAGCAGCCACCTCTCCTCCCCCAGCCCTTCTACTGCCTGTATCGCTGCCTGCCATAGCCTTCTGCCATGCCTGCCATGCACACATGACTTGATATGATAGACATCCGAGTCATTTCCTTGTTGCTGTTGTCATTTTCCAGGTAGCACTTGGAGTTCTCTAGTCACCTTCTCACGCGCTGCAACTTCTCTTATTGCCATCCCATTCCACCTCGCATTGTTATTCATCCTGCCAACTACCATGGACATGTTTCAACTCAGATTTCCACATTCAATTCTCCAGCCAACTCTTCATCGCCACTGCCATGCCTACCATGCCTGCCATACCTACCATGCCTACCATGTCTACCATGCCTACCATGCCTGCCATGCCTCCCATGCCTACCATGCCTGCCATGCCTACCATGCCTGCCATGCCTACCATGCCTATCATGCTTGCCATGCCTACCATGCCTGCCATGCCTACCATGCCTGCCATGCCTACCATGCGTGCCATGCCTGTCATGCCTGCCATGCCTACCATGCCTGCCATGCCTGCCATTCCTGCCATGCCTACCATGCCTACCATGCCTGCCATGCCTGCCATGCCTGCCATGCCTACCATGCCTACCATGCCTGCCATGCCTGCCATGCCTGCCATGCCTACCATGCCTGCCATGCCTGCCATGCCTACCATGCCTACCATGCCTACCATGCCTGCCATGCCTCCCATGCCTCCCATGCCTACCATGCCTACCATGCCTGCCATGCCTGCCATGCCTACCATGCCTACCATGCCTGCCATGCCTGCCATGCCTACCATGCCTACCATGCCTGCCATGCATGCCATGCCTGCTAACCAACTAGCATCATCCGGCACTGTGCGTGTCTCCACGTGTGCCCATGAGCCTTGCTCCAAGTGTGAGCATGCCTGGGTGCACATGGCGCTATGGCTGCAAGTTTGGACCAACGGAGAAGGGGGTGAAACGCCTGCATGAAGCGGCTGCAATTGGTTCATGGAAGGACATTCGGGACGAGAAACAACTGAACCATCATCGTCGATGATCACTTCCCCTGAGAGTTGAAATGATGTGAAATGGCATGTGCTTGATCGATGCAATATAGCAGTTCCATAGGCTGAATACACTTTGCCTAGCTGTCGGAAGTTAAATGAAATTGCTGGAGGAAGGATGTAGTGGTGGTAAATGAAAAGTTCATGGCTCGAAAAGTACTTACATGGCGTACCACACGACGTTGATCCTGGAAACAATATCGTTTTTTTAAATTGTTAGAACTTTCAGAGCATTTTATTATCTGTTCGACTTGGATAAGAAAGCATACTGCTGGTTTGTAGTGGCAATATCTGTTGAACCATATCGCTCCCATTGTTTATAACTGAAAACGAATCTGCACATAGCAGCATTCGTTTTTCTCATTCCCATCCCAACCTTGGGATCTTGGAACGAGCATCTTGGGAGAGGAACCCTAGTTCCTCGAGACTAGTTTCCTGGGCACTCCATGTCTCATGAGCTGCTCAACACCGTCCGATTGCTAAGCAAACACTGCGATCCGTCAGTTGGTACGCGCCATGTCGTAGTGCGGTCTGTTCGGGCCTCCGTCTCATTCGCTTCTGCTGATTGCTCGTAGGTAGTTCGTTCTTCCCGTTCGTCAACGTTGACGGAACGAAACTCAAGCTATGGGAGCCTCGAGCATAGCTTCGATCGGAGAGTACACCCATTTTAGCCCCACATTCAGTCAACCGAGAAGAGCGTCGTTTTTTCGCAGACGAATCGCCGGTTCAGCACCGGGCGAGCTTGACGGAAGGACGACTCGACTTGAGTCCAGGCAGCATAAAAGCGCTGAGATTTCGCTGTCCGAAAACCTGCTGGTTCGAGGGCTTGGTCTGGGCCCTCGGCTTGGCGCTCAGTGGCTTCAAAACCTGAGATCGCGCCCGGAGCACAGAAATCGGGTACCATGCCATTGGCTGCCCGACCTCTCCGTAGGTTCGGCTCCAACGACAAACCAGGGCACGCGCTTCACGGAATGAGTAGTTTTCATTCAGGGCAGCATTCTTGCTTCCTCTCCCCTGCCCGCCGTTGGCGACTGCTCCATCCACCCTTTCGCCTTGGAGCTGTCGTGCCTTCCCAACACGACAACACAAAGCCACTCGTCATTTCCATTCGTTCAACAACACCCGTTCTGGTTCTTACTTCCTGCTGACAACTATCACTTGTATCAATTCTCGCTTCTCGAGTCCTGGTTTCTTGAATTCCCGCTCGTACCATGGCCTCACGGAACGCCCCAGTTTTCCAATATACGAGTCCCTCTATTGATTACGAGTTCTGGAAGGACTTCTCCGAGGCGGATGGCACGTGGCTGTACGCGCCGCTGACGTCCTTGGGCCTAGATCACGAGTTCTGGAAGAATTTCTCCGAGGAAGACTGCACCTGGCTGTCTGGCCCATTGGGCTTCTCGATGGGTGAAGTTTCGCCCATTGATCACGCGTTCTGGGAAGACTACAGCGAGGAGGAGCAGACGTGGCTGTACGTCCCCGGGATTCGTTTCTGCGAGCCCGTTGTGACCCTCACGTTTGGCGCTGCTCCTGCTGCCAGCAGCACTTCGACCAGCACCAGCACCAGCTGCCGCAGCAACGGCAGCAGCAGCATCAGCAGTATCAGCAACAGCGACAACAGCAGCAGCACCAGCAGCAGCAGTATCATTCGCAGCAACAGCGTCAGCAGCAGCAGCAGCAACGACAGCGATCGCAGCAGGTCGAAGCGTGGCAGCAGCGCAGAGGCGTGCATGAGCAAGAGGCGGCAGCAGCGGCTGCATGCCGTTGCGGTGCGCGTGGGGCGGTTGAACGAGGACGAGCAGAGCACTGCGCGCTCCCCCCGTGCGTCGCTGGGCTTCTCCCCGCTGCGACCCACCAAGCCCGTGAGTCAGCCGCGCAGCAACACGCTTGTGAGTCAGCCGTGCAGCCACACGCCCACGCCGACTCACGTCATGGGTGCACGCGCTGCTGTCACCACCGCTGCTGTCACCGCCGTTGCTGTCACCGCCGTTGTGAAGAGTGCTGCTGTGAAGAACGCTTCTGTCAGGACTCCTTCTGTGAAGGCCCTTGCTGTGAAGAGTGTTCCTGTTAAGGCCGCAGTTTCAGCAGCCAAGGGAACGCGTGCATCTGCAGCTGCACCAGCCAAGGCTGCTGCGGCTGGAAGCGTTGCTGCTAAACCTGCAGCTGCAGCAGCTAAAGGAGCGCCAGCCAAGGCCACTCGTGTGACGCCTGCAGGTGCCAAGAGTGTTGCTGTGAAGAGCAGCCCAGTGGGGTCGGTGGCAAGAACAGCGGCAGGAGAGAAGGTGAGGGAGCAGGGCAATGGGAGTGCAGCACACACGGCGGTGCGTGCAGCTGCAGGGAAGGCGGCGTTGGGAGGGGTGGAGGGCAGGAGGGCGTGCAGCAGGTGTGGGCTCAGGCTCAGGGCGTGGCGGCGGTGGTGCGACTCTAATCCCTAAGCCTGGGCAGAGCAGGGCAGCGCACACGGCTGCAGCGGCTAAGGCAGTGCAGGATGCACCTCACAGCACTCGTAAACCGGCTGCTGCAGCAGCAGCAGCATTGGCCGCCACTCGCATTCCCACGCCACGCACAGCAGCACCTAAGGGAAGCAGTGAACGGTGAAGCGGCAGCTGGAATACAGTAGCTAGCAGCAATAGAAGGGAGCAAATCCAGAGGCATCTTGATGGCATGTGGAGGGAGGCGTGGTGCGGGTGGGATGAGCATGGCTGGTGGGATGAGCATGGCTGGTGGGATGAGCATGGCTGGTGGGACGAGCATGGCTGGTGGGATGAGCATGGCGGGTGGGATGAGCATGGCTGGTGGGATGAGCATGGCTGGTGGGGGCTGGTGGCAGGCGCATGGCGGGAATTACCCCTTTTTGCACCCTGCTTGCAGGGTGTTGTGGGAGAGATGGCAGGAGAGGTGGAGGCACGTGGCCAGCTGGCTGGAGGGTGGTTTGTGGGGAGGCTCATGGCTGAGCAGAGCATGATAATGGATCTGCTGCAATAGAGTTCTTGCTCTTAGCTTAGAATAAGCTTAGCTCGTTGTGTTCTTAGCCTCTTGTAACTATTTATATTGCATTGATCAGATGTGGTTGCTTTCCCTTGTGTTAGCTGGTGTTGGGGGAAGGTAGGAGTGCAGCAGGAGTAGGGGAGTGTAGAATGGCTTTAAGTTGGGTTGTTCTTGGTTTCCATTTCCTTGCGCCACCCCCATTTTCCCACCCTCATTTTCGAACTGTCACTTTACCATGTCATTTTCCACACTGATTTTCCCTCTCTCATTTCGCCACTGTCACCTTCTCACTGTCATCCTCCCACTGCCTTTTTACCATTGCCATTTTTCCAAAAAAAATCATTGCCACTCCCACACATCCACCTTCCTCTTTCTCATGTCATCATGAAATCAGCATTCCACTGCCATGTTCCCACCATCACCATCCCACTGCCAGGTTCCCACCATCTGACCATTGTCACTCCGTACTCTCATGTTCCATTGTCACGAAGACTTCAACTTTGAGATTTCCATAAACGTTTCTGCTGTCAACGTTGCATCGCCGTTTCCCTTTGTATTGCCCGTTTCTTCTCATCATCTCTCTTCCCTCCCCCTCCCTTGCAGCGCATTAGGGTTTCCCCAGTCCAGCTCCGTACCGCATTGCTTCTCTATCCCTCTATTGTTCTCCACTGCAACACCACCCTCAGTGTGATGTGAGCTATCACGGACTCGCCCCATCTGATAGTCCACCATGGCAATGTGCATTTCATATCCCGTTTCCTCCCATCCCACGCACCGGCGTGCTGGTCACACCTAACCGGTACGTGCCTGTGAGGGCCGGTTTGTGTGCCGTCTCCGTCTTGTGATTGCATTGCCACTTGTTCGTTCGTTCTGCATGCACGCGTCTCAAGGGTATACTGTTCTGTGGCGTGCGTCGTCATGGTTGTGTGCTGCACGGCATGGTTGTGGTATCATTGTTTTCCCATCTCTCGTATTCCCCCATCCATGTCACAATACCACTTCTGCAACCACATTATCATCCTCCAAATTCATTTTCCTCTCTGATCATTTGCCCGTCTGCTGTAGTCCCACTTCCCATTCTCATCATCCCTCATTGTCTAAATTTCTGCTGCTACTACTCCCACTCTGGATTTTATATTTTCTGCAGTCAATTCCTGCACTTTCCATCCCCCATTGCCTTGCCCTGGCTCCTCTTCGTTTCCATTATGGCATGTCTATGATGCATGCACTCTGAAATGGATGCTCCATGCATGCCCTTCCATCCACTCTGCTGCGTGCATTCATGAATGCATCCCCTCTGTCCGCCTCATGCTCCCACTCAATTTCACCACATGCCATCTCCTAGCACTCATGGCTTTCTCATATCTTACTTTGCTCATGTGTGTATGATATTCCTGTTTTTTTTCGCATCTCTGCATACTTAGCCTGATCGCTCGTCTTCCATTTTGTCACTGTCTACCGATTTTCATTCCCCAAAAGACATCTTACGACCTGTAAACCTTGTTCGTTTATTCCCACTTCCCATTCTCATAAAGATTCTCATGACACCAATGTCATGCTAACAGTCAAGTCCTCATGAAGAAAGTTCTCAGTCAAGTTTGAATTCCCATGTTTAGAGCCTACTATCCTGTTTCCATTTCTATTGTTGTTAACATCCTATTGTCAGATGTCCTCTCAGCTTCGCATCGTTGTTTCACCACTCACCTTCTGCATTAGTTTTCTGAGCATTTGCATGGGCCGGCCGTTGTCCAATCCACTTTTCAGTCTCTTTTCCTGCCAACTTCCCAACGCCAGTTTGCAATCACTTTCATCCCCATTGTGTTGTCAATCATCCTCGCATCGCCATTTCCAGTCTTTTTTTTCCGTAGATTGGCTTTTTTTAGCCTTTTCATGTTGCCATTCTCCCAGTCACCTTCCCATTGTCATTTGTCCTGCCAAATTCTCACAGCCGCTTTCCCAAAGTCCCGCTTCCATATCATCCAGTCATCTATCCATTGGCATTTGTCAACTTCCGTGTCACCTGCCCATTTCATGTTTCCCAGTCAGTTTCCCATTTGTCACTGCCTCCTCCCTGCGCTGTCTTCCCACGCATGGGCCAAACAGTCTCAGCCATGCACCTGCCTATCATCCCACCATCCATAACTCCCACCCCAGCCTCCCCTTTGCATGCCTGCCATGCACATGTGGTACCACAGAGGGTCCAGTCCCACGCCTTTTCACTCCTGCTGCCTGCCATTCACCTCGCACATCCACCTCGCACATCCTCTCTGCGTGCCCCACCCACACTGCCCTCACCGTGCCTTCCCCCGCCATTCTCTCACTTGTTCTCATTGCAGGATGCCATTTTTTCCCGCTGTCAACTATAACTTGTTTGCTTTCCTCTGGTCTTCCCACTGCCATGCTCCCACTGCCATGCTCCCACTGCCATGCTCCCACTGCCATGCTCCCACTGCCATGCTCCCACTGCCATGCTCGCACTGCCATGCTCCCACTGCCATGCTCCCACTGCCATGCTCCCACTGCCATGCTCCCACTGCCATGCTCCCACTGCCATGCTCCCACTGCCATGCTCCCACTGCCATGCTCCCACTGCCATGCTCCCACTGCCATGCTCCCACTGCCATTTCCCATCTGCCCACGGTTATCATTTTTGCCCATTCTCATCCTCCCATATCTACTGCTCATACACCTCACTCCATCTTCCCGTTTTCTCCCCGATCCCTACTGTCATCTTGTCGCCATCACTCTTCCAGTGTCTAGGAATACATCTCAATCGTAACTTCCCCAATTGTTAAATTTCCACTGTCGCTTTCCCTGGTTGCAGCAGCATCTCACTACCTCCCTGTCGTGCCTTCCATGCAACACATGGCCCCACCAGTGCCACTCCAATGTGCGTCAAGTCAACATTACGTGCATCAAGCCTCATTGCAGTTACATCGTGCCCTCATATCACAGCTTAGGTAATCTGATCAATGGTAATGTGGAATCCTGAATGCACGCCTTCTCATTCTAGGCATAGGCCTACCTACTGCTTGGCAGAAGTTCAAAGAACTAGATTGTCAACTTCTGTAAAGTGCGTTGGCGGACCTACTCGATGAGATTCAGCCCGCACACATCTCTACGTCACATCCGCAACGGGCGCCAAGGCCAAGGTCATGGGCATGGGGTGCGCCAAGTTCATGGGAGCGGATGGAGAGCTCCTGGGGCTGAAGAACGTGCTGTGGGTGCCGGACTTGTGCGCGAACCCGATTTCTACCGGCCGGTTGGGAGATGCGGGTGTGAACACCGAGACTATTGGCTCGGAGCGCTATCGTGTCTACAACGATGAGCGGCTGATTTGGGACCTGCAGTGGAAAGGGGATGTCCACAAGTGGATGTGGCAGATCCCGGTCCTCCCTTGGCAGAAATCGGGCAAGGCGGTAGCGGCGGCATCTATGGAGGAGAGTGTCACCGAGGAGGAGCAGCAAGGTGTGCAAGGAGATGAGCTGATTGGAGGAAGCGCGGCGGTGAAGGCGTCGGCTACCTCGGGCCAAGCAGATTGGGAGACTTGGCATCGGCGGCTCGCACACGTGGTTGTTTCTACATTGGAGGTGATGCACAAGGAGAAGTGCGTGCATGGGCTGCAACTGCAAGGAGATGGCGCTCACTATGGCAGTTGCGAGGCGTGCATGCAAAACAAGTTTGCGCGGTTCCCGTTTCCACGTGCGGAGGGATCGGCGAAGGCACCCTTGGAGGTGGTGCACATGGACCTGGTGGGTCCTATGAGGACGGAGGGGACTGGGGGAGTGCTGTACTTCCTCACCATGGTGGACGAATGGAGCCGTTTCACGTGGCCACGTCCCTTGTCCAAGAAGAGCGATGCTGCAGCGGCGATCAAGGAGGATTGGTTGCCGATGGCGGAGCGGCAAGCGATGCGGCTGGTGAAGGTGCTGAGGAGCGACCAAGGTGGAGAGTTCCTTGGAGCGGAATTCACCAATTTCCTCAAGAGAAATGGCATCCGGCATCAGCTGACCTGCCCTGGAACACCGCAGCAGAACGGCATTGCTGAGCGTGCCAACCGGATTGTTGGCGAGGCGGCTAAGACCTTGTTGGGGGCTACTGGGATGCCTTACAATTTCTGGCCTGAAGTTGTTCGCCATGTCATCACGATCAAGAACAGGGTCTTGACGGATGTTGGCGACAAGCATTTGGTGCCGTACGAGCGTTGGCTTGGGAAGAAGCCAACCATTGACATGCTGCGGGTGTGGGCCTGCATGGGGCTTGTGATGGTGCCTAAGGAGCAGAGGCACAAGTTGGAAGTTGCTGCTGTGTGGGCTGTCCATCTTGGGATGGCTCCTGACTCGAAGAGGTGGCTGATTTTGTTTGAGTCTGATTTTGAGAATTCTCAAAATCAATCTCAAACATGATGTGGGACCCTAAGAGCAAGAGGACGCTGGTCAGCCGTGACGTCAAGTTTGTGGAGGATAACATGTACAAGGACTGGCAGCAGCAGCAGCATGTGCAGATTGGCTTGCGTCTGCAGGACATTGAGCAGTCTGCAGTGGAGGAGGTTCAGCTGCACCTTGATGAACTCCATGGGTCAGAGCTGACCAGTTGGTGAGCAGCAAGTTTCTGGTCCTGCTGGAGAGGAGGGGTTGGAGGATGAGTCGGCACGTGTGGACTCACCAACTCAGCCCGAGCCTGCTGCAACCGCCAAGGTCACCAAGAGGAGTGTGCAGAAAGGAGCTTCACCACATGGGCAACGGACTGCAACCCGCGAGAAGATAGTGGCAGCAGCACCCTCAAGGCTAAAGTATAGCCGTTTGGGAGGACCCAAGCAAGGTGCCATGGCGGTTCAGGCGGATGAGGGAGAGGATGAGGAGATGGCGTTTTGTTTCTTCACACCCTTGCCTGGAGGACCAGCCACAGTGGAGGAGGCACTGAGTGGACCCCAGAAGGAGGAGTGGAAGGCTGACATGGATGCGGAGTTCAACAGTCTCATTGAGAATGGGACTTGGGAGCTTGTTGAGTTATCCGAGGGGCGACGGCCGATCAGCAGCAAGTGGGTCTTCAAGGTGAAGAGTGGAGCTGATGGTGCGTTGGAGCAGTTCAAGAGCCGCTTGGTCGCCAAGGGGTTTCAGCAAAAGGAGGAGGTCGACTTTGGGGAGATTTTCGCTCCCGTTGCTAAGCCAGTGACATTGAGGACTTTGATTGCTGGCGCAGCTGTGAAGGGATGGCACGTGAAGCAGATGGATATCACCACTGCGTTCCTCAATGGAGTGCTGCTGGAGGATATCTACATGGCACAGCCCGACGGCTATGAGGATGGGACCAGCCGGGTGTGCAAGCTCAAGAAGGCCATCTATGGCCTTAAGCAAGCGCCCAGGTGTTGGTACGAGAAGCTGGAGGAGGTGCTGCTGGGTGGAGGCTTCAAGACGTCCCAGGCGGATCACAGCTTGTTTCTGCTTGGAGAGGGGGAGCAGTTGCTCTTGCTGCTGGTGTATGTCGACGACATACTGCTGTTCTCACCTTCCGTGGAGCAGATTGAAAGGACACAGAAGCTGCTGATGGACAACTTCAAGTGCAAGATGCTGGGGGATGTCCACTATCACTTGGGGCTGCAGATTGAGAGGGATGTTGAGAGGAGGTGGCTGAAGGTGCATCAGTCACACTACATCTCTGGTGTCATGGAGTGGTATGGTGTGACTGGGGGTCGCATTGTGATGACACCGTTCCCTGCGGGCTTCAAACTGAAGAAGGTAGCTGAGGAGGATGATGTACTCGAGGATGAACAGCAGAATGAGTACCAGTCACTCATTGAGAGTGTGATGTATGCAGCTGTGCATACGCGACCTGATGCTTCATTCGGAGTGGGGCAGCTGGCCAAAGTTGTGCAACGGCCCACTGAGGAGCAGATGGAGGTGGCAAAGCGCTTGGTGCGCTACCTCGGATCAACGGCATCTGCTGGTGTTCAGTTTTCAGCTGTTGGTGCACATGTCATCGACACTTGTTCCTGTCAGTCGCTCGTAACGATCCGCGCTGACCACGTAGCCCCTAGCGCCGCGAGCACCCCATAGTCCATCAACGCAACTCAACCAGCTGCGAGCGAACCGCACGCCGACCACGCACTTCGCCAGGCCTCCGCGACTCAGCGCCTCGACGGCTCGGCGGGGCGCTGGGAGGAGGAGCAGCGGAGCGGAAACTGAGATGAGGGCAATTTGGAGAGCGCAGAAGTGTGGCAGAATTGACGCGCGCACGCGGAGAAGCATGCTCATCGCGCGCCTACAGGGGAAGGGGGGGTGAGGGGCTTTCCGCTAGCCGGGAGGGTGTTTGGCGTGATGGACGCCACGTTGTTTTCGCGAAGCGTTTCGGCGCGTTGCGCCCCTCATGCGCAACCCATTTCCATCCTCATCGCGTCGCATGCCTTGTGCAAACCTCATCGCACGCACCTCCCACCGCTCTCGGCTCTTCCGCACCCCCCTGCGCCACCCCCGTGGCGCGCGGATGCTTTCCACTCGTTGCGCGTGTCGCTCCCGTGTGCGCTTGTGCTTGTCGCCGCCAGCACCACGGTTTGCGTGAGCGCGGCGGACGCTGCGATGGAGGCGGAAGGTGGTTGCGGGGGAGCGCGGAGAGGCAGGTGGGAACGTGCGAGGGCGGGGGTGAAGCGCAGATCTCCGATGGCTGCGCGGCGCGGAGGCCGTCCCGTTACAAGCGCCCTCGATAGACACGTGGCGGCGCTCCCCAGGCAAGGAGGAAGGGAAGGGGGAAGGGAAAAGGGGAGGCAAGGGGGAAGGGAAAAGGTGAGGGAAGGGGGAAGGGAAAAAGGGGGGCAAGGGGGAAGGGAAAAGGTGAGGCAAGGGGGAAGGGAAGGGGGGAGGGAAGGGGGAAGGGAAGGGGGGAGGAAGGGGGGAGGGAAGGGGGAAGGGAAGGGGGAAGGGAAGGGGGGAGGAAGGGGGGAGGGAAGGGGGGAGGGAAGGGGGAATGGGCGATGGCGATGACGAGGGGCTGTGGCGAATAAAGAAGAGGGGTGGTGGAAGGGGTGGTGTGGTGCAGGATGGAGGGGTGGTGTGGGCTGCCGTTTCAAGTTCATGTTCCAGTTCCTTTCCACATTGCACTTCGTGTCATTTGTCGAGTCTTCTCGTGATGCCCTTTGAACACTCAAATTCACTCTAGCGTGGTGGCCCTCCGTATCAGTCTTTGCAATTCATTTTCGGTTCGTTGGTTATTATGCGCTTATGCGTATAATAAGCCTGTTTTCACCATGCGAAAGACAAACAGCACGTTGCTTCGCGCATAATATAAGCAAGTTTCCATCGCCTCTGATTTGAGGAAGTCAAGCGGAGGTTGAACGCTTTTTTATTTTCAAATCAAGCGAAAATTAAATATAATGCCGAGCCATTATAACCGATCGCCATGTAACATGACTGCTCTCCTCTCTCTATAGTAACAAAGTGCCCAGTAATCTTTAAGTTCGCTACCATGTTCTACGTGTCGGCTGCCTTTCCACTCAACTTCCATTTTCACTTCCCAGTGCCGTTGACGAAATTTAACTGTTATTCAAGACGTTGCCCAGCCGTGTTCGTATTTATCGTCATAGTCACATGCCAGTCTCAGTCGCAGGCATGGCATCGTCATAGTCACATGCCAGTCTCAGTCGCAGGCATGGCATCGTCATAGTCACATGCCAGTCTCAGTCGCAGGCATGGCATCGTCATAATCACATGGCAATCTCAGTCGCAGGCATGGCATCGTCATAATCACATGGCAATCTCAGTGGCATGGCCACTCTCTCATAAAGGCAAGTTCCACTGGGTTACCATCAGCTCGCCTCACTTGTTCGCTCATGATCCTTCTCTCCCCGCTCTCCCTTCTCTCCTCTCTCTTCCCCCCCCATGAACCATTCGCCCTGCCCTCTGCCCTCTCCTCAGCGGCAGGATCACCACAGTTTCGCTACTCTCCTGCAGCAGTAGAGCACAGGACTCTGACTGGCTCTGACTGGCTCTGACTGGCTCTGACTGGCTCTGACTGGCTCTGACTGGCCCTGACTGGCTCTGACTGGCTCTGACTGGCTCTGACTGGCTCTGACTGGCTCTGACTGGCTCTGACTGGCTGCCTGCCCGTGTGCGCCACACTGCAAGGCAATGCACTCCAGGCTCCAGCTTCACACTCTGTCTCTTTGGGGAAGGGAGTGGAGGGTGGGGGAGTCAGCTCGTGAGAGTCACCAGCAGCTGAGTCAAGGCTTGGCTTCTACAGACTTCAAGTCCTGGTCCTTCTGTTCGTGCCTTTCCAGAGTTCTCTCCTCTCCACACCCATGCCTCTCCTCACCAATCCCCTCATGTGTCCCCCATCCCCTCTCCCCTCATGAATTACCACTCTTCTGCCTCTCCCATCCACCCCAGTTTTCCCAAACATCCTTTCTCACTGCCCAATCCCATGCCCCCCTCCACCGCATGTGACCCGTGCCTCTTGCTTGTCCTCCCAGGCTGCCCCATGCCCCTACGGGCCTACCCCACTTCCTTGTGCCACAGTGCTGGTTGTGTAGGCAGCAGCAGCATGTGTAATGTGACTCTACTGCACCGTTTAAATGTGTGCGTGGCCTTTGCGAAACTGACGGCGAGGTTGGCAGGACGGGGAACTTTCTGGGTTGCTGGGCGGTGACAGAAGATGCGTGCGTGCGCTATGCTGATGACTCTGATCAAATTACATTGCACATGGCCGACAAGAACTGGCCTGGAATAATTCGTTTGTTTGGACCCATGATCTTTTTACATTTCAACTTGGTGTGTGCAACGACTTGTTCGTAAGCCTTAATTGTTATTTGAGCTGCGTTTAACTGTAAGCACTTCAAATCGTTACCCGCAGTTCTTCAAGAGTCTCAAACAAAGGTTCAAAGTGCATGTAAAAGTGTTTAGCAGACCAGATGGCTATGGTATTATAAATGGATGTGGAGAAGGTGAATTCGCTGTTTGGACAAAAACTCAACTATTCTGTAACCGATCACGTTACTAACGAGATTCAAAATCTTTCCGCCTTCAACCTTTCTGCCACACCCTCGACCTTGCCGAGCCGCTGCATCACCAATACCTAGGCCACCATAAAAAGAGATCACGACCAATCTCAAGTCCCTGACGATGAGGCCACTACCCAATCTCCACGCTCCTGTTGTCCGCTAAGCCGCAGCCAGACGAAGTATTACGACGGGATTAGAAATCGCAGGTCGGCTCAGTATGTTTTCGCTGCAGCCCATGGGATCCAAAACGCCTTGTCATTCCTTTCTGGGCGTGCGCTACCCTGGAGACAGATTCGCATCCACGATGACGTGGACCAACAAAGCCAAGGTGTGACTGTCTTACCCGCATGATTGGGCTAGTTAGGAACTTGGTGGGCCCGACTGTACCACCGTGGCTGGTTCTCACGATATCCGTAGCCACGTCATCCACTGTAGAGCGTCGCGAGAAATCTGGGATGTACCGTGGTTGCTTCGGACGCCATTGGATCTGCAAGATTGACATTTTCAGTGGCAAACGAACAGCAACAAAGCTTCGGCACCATACCTGCGACTTCCGTAGCCAGCGGAACTCCCTCCTCTGGTTACCGCCGTCAGCTCCACGGGAACGGGAATTTCGGTAACTACCGCGGTTGCTGCGAATGCCATTGGATCTGCCAGATCGACATTTTCCGTGGCAAAACGATACCTTAGCCTCGGCACCATTCCTGAAACTTCCGTTGCCAGCGGAACTCCCTCGTTTTGGCTATCACCGTCAACTAGAGCGGCTCGTCAAAGATTGAAGCATCCTGTCAGAACCGACACCGCTCTCGTAGTCACAAATACAAAACCCCGTCTGACAGAATCACCAATTCAGTTGAATCACATCGTTCTGTACTCACACAGCTCATTCCTACCCCCTTTCCTTAAGCCTCGAAGCTTTCTGACTGCTGATGGCCGTGAAAACCCTCGCTGCGTGCAGCAAGGCTGACCCCGACGACCTCTTCTACTGGGAAGAGGACCACGGGTCCGTCCCTGCTGCCTCCGCTTCCGCCTCTCCCAGCTGGAGCGATGCAGCACGCAAGCGATCCACGCCTGCTGCTGCTGCTGCTGCTGCTCCAAGTGCCAAAAAGGCACGAATTTCCGAGGATTCGGAAGACGAATTCTCGTACATGAGCGAATTGGATCTGCTGGAGTTCCGCCAACGGTATCTTAACCCTGAAAGCATCTGTAGCAATGAAGGAAACGTGTCCTTCCTGTCCAAGGACGAGTTTCTCGCTTCCACAGGCAAGAAATCGCCTTGGATTGTGGTTAAAAAAACTGCTGCCAGTAAGAATGATGTTAACAAGAGCAACAGGAGCGTGATGGTCTGCACCTTCAGCTCCAGCAGTGCAAACAGCACGAGCTGCGCATCTGTGCAGACTCCTGCTGCTAAGGGCAGCACAAAAGATTCAGAGAAAAAAAGTTTCAGCATACATCAGGCCGCAGAAAAAAAGGATGGGCTCTCCAACTTGAGAAAAGCTTCAGCTGCTGTTGTCCCTGTTGACGCTGCTACTGCTGCTGCTGCTGTTAAGAACTCTGACATGAAGTCAAGGCAAATGTCAAGCTCTGATAAGGAAGAGGCATTACAGGTAAAAGTGGAAGGGACAAAAGCAAATAAAACATCAAATGGGAAGGCTAGAGGAACGAGGCGGATGGAGGGGTGGATGAGTAGAGCTTGGTCAAGCATAGCCTTGAATAAGTGGCACAAAGGCAAGTAAGGTAAAGCTGGTGGGGGTGATGTGGAATGATGGTGATAGGGGTTCACCCCCTTTTTCCCGTCCTGACTAGCAGGATGTTGTGGGAAAGATGGAATGTATGGTGGCTGGAGAGAAAGGAATGGTATGCATGCCACTTTAGACTTGATAATCATGCTTGTTTTAGAAATTTATATATATGCATATTCTTTTCATGCACTGGTGTGGATGGGGGTGAATTGAGAGCATGGAATGGAAGAATGGGTGAGAATGGCTGACCATGTTTCATCTTCATATGGGACTGATACAGTCTGGTCAGAGTATGCACAACCATCAAACAAATCAAGAATGGTGTTTTTGGCGGAAAACCATGGTCAATTGTGCATTACAAATGGTGTCAGAACATAGAGCAACAACATAAACAACAATCAAAATCTACACCATCAGGGCTACCATAACAGCAATGGTTAGGTTGACCACAATCACAGAAATGATTCTGTTGTTGATAATGTTCCCACTATCATCATCCCACTGCCATCTTCCCATATCATCAGGGTGGGGTTACAAGGGAAGGAAGATGGAGGGTTTAAGCTGAAGGGTGGTTGAGTGGGTGGAGTGGGGGAGAGGGGGGGAGAGTGGGGGAGGGACATTCTGAGGCTCTTCTCATCCCATTGTCATTCCCCACCCCATGGACCACGGGATGCTTACAGAGCCAATTCCACTTCCATTCATCTTCCGCTTGCCATTTCTGCTTTTCGGCTTCCCACTTCGCCATCCCTCTTCTCATTGTAGTTCGTCATGCCTGCTTCCCCTTTGCAGCTTTCACATCAACTCTTCCATATCATGTTATCCTGTCAGCTTGCTATTGCCAGTTCTCTTGTTAACTTTCCCCAGTGTCACTGATCCATCCAACTTGATGGCGTGTGGAATGACTGGGGTGGGATGAGTGAGTGTGACATGGAACGAGTGGATGTGAATTTGACATGGAACGAGTGGATGTGAATTTGACATGGAACGAGTGGATGTGAATTTGACATGGAACGAGTGGATGTGAGTGTGGGATGAAATGAAGTCCCTCCTTAGAAAATCTGGGGAGGACACATATTGAGGCACCATAGCAAGGGGAACTGCATGAATCACATCGCTCTCTCTCTCCCTTCCCATCTTCCAATCCACTTCACATTACCATTTTCTGCTCTCAATACCATTCCTCACAGTTGTAGTTTTCACTGTCAATCGCCCATTGTCCTTTTGTCCTGTAATCCTGCTGCCATTGCACTAGTTCATCCAGCTTTTCATTTTAAGCTCTCATGCAATCTTTTGATAGCCATTTGCCCATCCGTTCCCTTTTTTCAAGCTACATCCCTCTACCTTTTGTCTAGCCGACTTGTCGATTGCTCTGCATGATTCTCTTTCGCCGTTTTCCCGGTTTGTTCATATTTTGTTGTCAACTTGCCATTGCCAGATACCCAGAGCCATTTTCCTGTTGCTTGGCCATCCCCATGTGTGAGATGAAATGAGGTGATGTGAGTCTGGGATGAAATGAGGTGATGTGAGTGTGAGATGAAATGAGGTGATTTGAGTGTGAGATGAAATGAGGTGATTTGAGTGTGAGATGAAATGAGGTCCTCATAAAATTGCTGGGGAGGACACATGCCGAGCAAGGCACAATTGCAAGGGAAACTGCATGATTCACATCTCACTCTCCCTGCTTTTCTTTCAATCCACTTCACGTCACTATTTTCTGCTCCCAATACCTCTCCTCACTGATACTTGTCATTCGCCGTTTTCACTGTCAATCACCCATTGTCCTTTCGTCCATTTGTCCTGCCATCCAGGTTCCCACTTTGAGCTGTCATACAGACTTCTGACTACCATTTTCCCTCATTCTCCTTTGGTTGGTTGACTGTTGCCATATTACCTTCCATCCAGTCAACTTGGAGATTGCTCTGCCTGGTACCCTTCCGCCGTTTTCCCTCATTCTCCTTTTGTTCAGTCAACTTCCATTGCCATTTTTCAATCATACTTCTCATTTCCATTCATCTTGCCAGATTCTCATGCCAGAGCCATTCTCCTGTTACTTGTCCATCACCATATGAAGTTCCCCTGTCGTTTGTCTTGTCAAATGCTGATGTGATGTCCCAGTTTCCCAGTCGATAGCCCATCGCGTGCCTTTTGTTGTAGTGATGTGAACTTCTCATTGTCATTCTATCCTTTCATATTCCTTTTGCCCTTCTCTGTCATCTGTTTTCTCCTACCTGCACAGCACACTCGTTCCGTGTTATCAAGCTGCGGCAAGTCAATCATTTATGTGGCACATGGCATAGCATTCTTCTGTGAATGTTTTTTCCTCCATCCTCTATTACACCATAGCCCTTTGTGGAAGTATTTTGGCTGCACTATGCTAGACACCACAATGTATAATTACCGTATGAAAAGTGTTGCACAAAATGCTTCATACGCAAGAATGTAATATGTGTCATCATCCGCCTATCAGGCTTCAATTGGCTCTGTGGGGAGCTGAGCTATTTGCTGAGAGAAGGTGTATCCATCAGAGCGAGACGAGCAGAGGAGAAAACAAGGGTGGAGGGAGGGAGAGAGACGGGCGGAGGGAGAGATGATGAGTGCGGGAGAGAGATCACAATGAGGGATCACAATGGGAAGAGGGGTGAGACTGGGTGAGGAGGTGGGGCGAGGGAGCGGGGAAGCAACAGTCTCCCCACAACCAACTTACCTGAACACCCTCCCCTGAACATCAACACACACCCGCCCACCCCAATGATGCGTCTGTGCTGGGAAGGCGGTGGCACTGCCAGCGCTGCCGCCACCACGGCTGCCAGATCCTCCCTTGACACTCTGCCCCTCGTGGCGCCGCCCTGGGGGAATGGTGAGGGGAAGGGGGAGAGAGGCGGGACGAGTGGGTGAAGGGGGGACAGTGCATGCTGCAAGCACCAGCACTGCTGCGCGAGTGAGGGGGAAGGGAGGAGGACAACACGTGCTCCCTGCATCACGGCTGCCAGTGACAGCACGTGCTCCCTGCATCACGGCTGCCAGGGACACGCTGCCCCTCGTGGCGCCGCCCTGGGAGAGGCGGGACCACATTGGGGAAGGGAGCATGGTGATGGGAGGCAGAGAGAGGTGCCGTTTAATGAGGCCATGGGAACTGGAAGCGTTCTCTGCTGTTAAGGGACTCTATGTGTGCTTGGTGAGGAAGGGACCAAGTACAGCAGGCGCTGCCGCCGTCACCACCTCTGCAGCAGCAGGGACAAGGGATATGCTTCCTTTCACTGTGTCGTCCTGTCTTGATGGATGGGGGAGGGAGAGGAAGGCATCGCGGGATGGGAAGAACACACGTGCTGCTGGATCTGTGTCCGTAATGCTTTCCCTTGAGTGTTGCCTGTTGGGATGGTGGGGGCAGTGGAGAGGAGAAGAGAGGAAAAAAAAGAGCGCGAAGGTGGGGAGCTAAACCAGGAGAGAAACATGTTTCCCCTGATGTGACAATCAGATGCGAGAACGCAGGGAAAAAGTCAGGGGTGAAAGGCAGGGCAGGGAGAAGTGGAAGAGAGAGAGAGGATGAGGAAGAGGGAAGACGAGGAGACGAGGAGCCAGGGGAGATGCAAGTGGAGAGGGAACGATGCGCCTCTCACCCCACTCCTCACCTGCCCCACTCCTCACCTGCCCCACTCCTCACCTGCCCCACTCCTCACCTGCCCCACTCCTCACCTGCCCCACTCCTCACCTGCCCCACTCCTCACCTGCCCCACTCCTCACCTGCCCCACTCCTCACCTGCCCCACTCCTCACCTGCCCCACTCCTCACCTGCCCCACTCCTCACCTGCCCCACTCCTCACCTGCCCCACTCCTCACCTGCCCCACTCCTCACCTGCCCCACTCCTCACCTGCCCCACTCCTCACCTGCCCCACTCCTCACCTGCCCCAATCCTCACCTGCCCCACTCCTCACCTGCCCCACTCCTCACCTGCCCCACTCCTCACCTGCCCCACTCCTCACCTGCCCCACTCCTCACCTGCCCCAATCCTCACCTGCCCCACTCCTCACCTGCCCCACTCCTCACCTGCCCCACTCCTCACCTGCCCCACTCCTCACCTGCCCCACTCCTCACCTGCCCCACTCCTCACCTGCCCCACTCCTCACCTGCCCCACTCCTCACCTGCCCCACTCCTCACCTGCCCCACTCCTCACCCGCCTCAGAACTCACCCGCCCCAGAACTCACCCGCCCCAGAACTCACCTGCCCCAGCAGCAGCCCTCTCTGCCGGCCAGGTTCATCCACCACCTTCCCCCCCACACCACCGTGCACCCAAACCCCCACCTCCGCGCCTCCCCTGCTGCTCCCCTCTCCCCGCCGCCACCACCACTTGCCTCCGACGCTGCAGCAGCAGGGGCAGCTAGTGCTGCTTGGGCGTCTGCCGCTGCTGCCAGTGTCGACGCGGACCAAGCAGACGCCGAAGCAGCACTAGCTGCTGCCAGCCCCGCCAGACCTGAGGGGCGCGACGCGGCCCCCAGCTGACACAAGGGGAGAGAGTGGGGGAGATGAGGAGGAGAAAGAATTGCAGAGGGATGGAAGGGGAGGATGGAAGGAGATTTCGGGTAGTGTTGTGGAAAGATTGATGAGTGGACGGGATGGGAATAGTGCTAGAACTATCTAAGCAAGAGAGCACTGTGAGGATGGTGGGGGATGAGGGAAAGGAAGGAGGCGGGACGGGGATCGGGGTCCGAGCTACAGAGGAAGAAAGCTGAACAGCAGGTAAGAGAGGAGGGGAGGCGTGGTGTCGGTGGAATTGGGTTCAGAAGAGGAATTGAAGTGAACGAAGGGGGCGGGGTAGAGAAGGAAGTGGGAGTGATGCGGCTATGGGCGTTGTTGAGCATGTGCTGCCTGCCCGTCACGATGACTGCTTGAGTGCCTCTGAGCGCCGCTCTCACTGCTGATTGGTCCGCCACCGAGTCACTGACCCTGATATGGGCTGCCGCGGATGGTGGAGGGATGGCGCGGATGGGGGTGCGGGGATGGGAAGGCAAGGGAGAGAGAGAGAGTGAGTGATGGTTGTGGTTATGGTTTGTGGGAAGTGGTTGGGGCGTTTGGGGTAGACGAGAGGCAATGGCACAGGTCGAGAAGAAGGGATGGAGGAGCCACTGTGGAGAATGAAAGTTTGATAGGTGCTTGCGATGGTGACAACGATGACTTGCACCCTTTAATACCCACCAGCACCCTCCAGCATCAATTAGCACCCATTAGCACCCATCACAGACTGACCTGCACGTAGGGTTGGAATCCAACAGTGGCCTCCTTGGCGTCCCTCACGAGCACGCTCACCCTCCTGCGCGCCCATATGAGCTGCACTACCACCATCTGGGGCAGGGGGAGGGAGACGGGGTGGGGGAGCGGAGAGGAGGGCGGGAGAGGTTGAGGCACACTACTGGCACAGGCCGCTCAGAGCCCTGTCTCATTCACCCTCCTGCGCTCCACGATAAGTTGCACCACCACCAACTGGGTGGGGGGGGGGAGGGGAAGGGGAGGGGAAGGGAGGGGAGGGGCGGGGAAGGGAGGGGAAGGGAGGGGAGGGGAGGGGAAATGAGGCGGGGAAGGGAGGGGAGGGGAAATGAGGCGGGGAAGGGAGGGGAGGGGAAATGAGGCGGGGAAGGGAGAGCGGGGAAGGGAGGGGAAGGGAGGGGAGGGGAAGGGAGAATGAGGGTGAATGAGACGGGCACATGTCCGACACGGGCACGGCAGCCTCGTGCACGAGGCCAGGATGAGCTTCCGCACCCCCATGTGTGGCAGGGGGGGAGGCAGTGCGACAGGGCGGTGGAGGATGGAGGGGTGAGGGTGGTAGAGAATGCAGCTCACAGGCACAGGCCGCTGCACTAGCAGGCTCTCTCCGCATTGGGATGAGCTGAGCAGTGAGGGAGGGAGGGTGGGGGGACAAATGAGGGGTTGAACAACACAGAGGGAGGCGCGGAGAAGGCTTGTCTGGTCGTGCTGGTTGCGACGTAATGCATGGTGGAGTGAGATGCGAGAGAGCGCGTGGGAGGGAAAAAGCAGTCGTGCGCCGTCAGTCATTGCAGCAAGCAAGAGTGAGGGGAGGGGAGCCACACGAGTGGCGACGGGCGGCTTTCAAGACAAAGAAGGGCATTGGGATGTTGAGCATAGAAGTAATGGTAAGTGGATTGGGAAACGAGAATGGAAAGCGAGATGCCTCAGGATGATTCCCACACTCCCATCACCTCATCCCCTCTCACACTCCCATCACCCCATCCCATCTCACACTCCCATCACCCCATCCCATCTCACACTCCCATCACCTCATCCCCTCTCACACTCCCATCACCTCATCCCATCTCACACTCCCATCACCCCATCCCATCTCACACTCCCATCACCTCATCCCATCTCACACTCCCATCACCTCATCCCCTCTCACACTCCCATCACCTAATCCCATCTCACACTCCCATCACCTCATCCCATCTCACACTCCCATCACCTCATCCCATCTCACACTCCCATCACCTCATCCCCTCTCACACTCCCATCACCTAATCCCATCTCACACTCCCATCACCTCATCCCCTCTCACACTCCCATCACCTCATCCCATCTCACACTCCCATCACCTCATCCCATCTCACACTCCCATCACCAAATCCCACCCATCTCACACTCCCATCACCTCAGCCCATCTCACACTCCCATCACCCCATCCCCTCTCACACTCCCATCACCTCATCCCCTCTCACACTCCCATCACCTCATCCCATCTCACACTCCCATCACCCCATCCCCTCTCACACTCCCATCACCTCATCCCATCTCACACTCCCATCACCTCATCCCATCTCACACTCTCATCACCTCATCCCCTCTCACACTCCCATCACCCCATCCCATCTCACACTCCCATCACCCCATCACATCTCACACTCCCATCACCTCATCCCCTCTCACACTCCCATCACCTCATCCCCTCTCACACTCCCATCACCCCATCCCATCTCACACTCCCATCACCCCATCCCATCTCACACTCCCATCACCTCATCCCATCTCAGACTCCCATCACCTCATCCCATCTCACACTCCCATCACCTCATCCCATCTCACACTCACATCACCTCATCCCATCTCACACTCCCATCACCTCATCCCATCTCACACTCCCATCACCCCATCCCATCTCACACTGCCATCACCCCATCCCATCTCACACTCCCATCACCCCATCCCATCTCACACTCCCAGCACCTCATCCCATCTCACACTCCCATCACCTCCTCCCCTCTCACACTCCCATCACCTCATCCCATCTCACACTCCCATCACCTCATCCCATCTCACACTCCCATCACCCCATCCCATCTCACACTGCCATCACCCCATCCCATCTCACACTCCCATCACCTCATCCCCTCTCACACTCCCATCACCTCATCCCATCTCACACTCCCATCACCTCATCCCATCTCACACTCTCATCACCTCATCCCCTCTCACACTCCCATCACCTAATCCCATCTCACACTCCCATCACCTCATCCCATCTCACACTCCCATCACCTCATCCCATCTCACACTCCCATCACCCCATCCCATCTCACACTCCCATCACCAAATCCCACCCATCTCACACTCCCACCACCTCATCCCATCTCACACTCCCATCACCTCATACCATCTCACACTCCCATCACCTCATCCCATCTCACACTCCCATCACCTCATCCCATCTCACACTCCCATCACCTAATCCCATCTCACACTCCCATCACCTCATCCCCTCTCACACTCCCATCACCTCATCCCATCTCACACTCCCATCACCTCATCCCATCTCACACTCCCATCACCCCATCCCATCTCACACTCCCATCACCAAATCCCACCCATCTCACACTCCCATCACCTCAGCCCATCTCACAAACCCATCACCCCATCCCATCTCACACTCCCATCACCTCATCCCCTCTCACACTCCCATCACCTCATCCCATCTCACACTCCCATCACCCCATCCCATCTCACACTCCCATCACCCCATCCCATCTAACACTCCCATCACCCCATCCCATCTCACACTCCCATCACCTCATCCCCTCTCACACTCCCATCACCTCATCCCATCTCACACTCCCATCACCTCATCCCATCTCACACTCTCATCACCTCATCCCCTCTCACACTCCCATCACCCCATCCCATCTCACACTCCCATCACCCCATCCCATCTCACACTCCCATCACCTCATCCCCTCTCACACTCCCATCACCTCATCCCATCTCACACTCCCATCACCCCATCCCATCTCACACTCCCATCACCCCATCCCATCTCACACTCCCATCACCCCATCCCATCTCACACTCCCATCACCTCATCCCCTCTCACACTCCCATCACCTCATCCCATCTCACACTCCCATCACCTCATCCCATCTCACACTCTCATCACCTCATTCCCTCTCACACTCCCATCACCCCATCCCATCTCACACTCCCATCACCCCATCCCATCTCACACTCCCATCACCTCATCCCCTCTCACACTCCCATCACCTCATCCCATCTCACACTCCCATCACCTCATCCCATCTCACACTCTCATCACCTCATCCCCTCTCACACTCCCATCACCCCATCCCATCTCACACTCCCATCACCCCATCCCATCTCACACTCCCATCACCTCATCCCCTCTCACACTCCCATCACCTCATCCCATCTCACACTCCCATCACCTCATCCCATCTCACACTCTCATCACCTCATCCCCTCTCACACTCCCATCACCCCATCCCATCTCACACTCCCATCACCCCATCCCATCTCACACTCCCATCACCCCATCCCATCTCACACTCCCATCACCTCATCCCCTCTCACACTCCCATCACCTCATCCCATCTCACACTCCCATCACCTCATCCCATCTCACACTCTCATCACCTCATCCCCTCTCACACTCCCATCACCCCATCCCATCTCACACTCCCATCACCCCATCCCATCTCACACTCCCATCACCTCATCCCCTCTCACACTCCCATCACCTCATCCCATCTCACACTCCCATCACCCCATCCCATCTCACACTCCCATCACCCCATCCCATCTCACACTCCCATCACCCCATCCCATCTCACACTCCCATCACCTCATCCCCTCTCACACTCCCATCACCTCATCCCATCTCACACTCCCATCACCTCATCCCATCTCACACTCTCATCACCTCATTCCCTCTCACACTCCCATCACCCCATCCCATCTCACACTCCCATCACCCCATCCCATCTCACACTCCCATCACCTCATCCCCTCTCACACTCTCATCACCTCATCCCCTCTCACACTCCCATCACCCCATCCCATCTCACACTCCCATCACCCCATCCTATCTCACACTCCCATCACCCCATCCCATCTCACACTCCCATCACCTCATCCCCTCTCACACTCCCATCACCCCATCCCCTCTCACACTCCCATCACCTCATCCCCTCTCACACTCCCATCACCTCATCCCATCTCACACTCCCATCACCTCATCCCATCTCACACTCCCATCACCTCATCCCATCTCACACTCCCATCACCTAATCCCATCTCACACTCCCATCACCTCATCCCATCTCACACTCCCATCACCTCATCCCATCTCACACTCCCATCACCTCCTCCCATCTCACACTCCCATCACCTAATCCCATCTCACACTCCCATCACCTAATCCCATCTCACACTCCCAGCACCTCATCCCATCTCACACTCCCATCACCCCATCCCATCTCACACTCCCATCACCCCATCCCATCTCACACTCCCATCACCTCATCCCCTCTCACACTCCCATCACCCCATCCCCTCTCACACTCCCATCACCTCATCCCCTCTCACACTCCCATCACCTCATCCCATCTCACACTCCCATCACCTCATCCCCTCTCACACTCCCATCACCCCATCCCCTCTCACACTCCCATCACCCCATCCCATCTCACACTCCCATCACCCCATCCCATCTCACACTCCCATCACCTCATCCCCTCTCACACTCCCATCACCTCATCCCATCTCACACTCCCATCACCTCATCCCATCTCACACTCTCATCACCTCATCCCCTCTCACACTCCCATCACCCCATCCCATCTCACACTCCCATCACCCCATCCCATCTCACACTCCAATCACCTCATCCCCTCTCACACTCCCATCACCTCATCCCATCTCACACTCCCATCACCTCATCCCATCTCACACTCCCATCACCTCATCCCATCTCACACTCCCATCACCCCATCCCATCTCACACTCCCATCACCCCATCCCATCTCACACTCCCATCACCTCATCCCCTCTCACACTCCCATCACCTCATCCCATCTCACACTCCCATCACCTCATCCCATCTCACACTCCCATCACCTCATCCCATCTCACACTCCCATCACCTCATCCCATCTCACACTCCCATCACCTCATCCCATCTCACACTCCCATCACCCCATCCCATCTCACACTCCCATCACCCCATCCCATCTCACACTCCCATCACCTCATCCCATCTCACACTCCCATCACCTCATCCCATCTCACACTCCCATCACCCCATCCCATCTCACACTGCCATCACCCCATCCCATCTCACACTCCCATCACCTCATCCCCTCTCACACTCCCATCACCTCATCCCATCTCACACTCCCATCACCTCATCCCATCTCACACTCTCATCACCTCATCCCCTCTCACACTCCCATCACCTAATCCCATCTCACACTCCCATCACCTCATCCCATCTCACACTCCCATCACCTCATCCCATCTCACACTCCCATCACCCCATCCCATCTCACACTCCCATCACCAAATCCCACCCATCTCACA